TTTTATCAAGTTATTTTATTTGGGAAGGGAACTATACTTTTTTTTTTTTTAAATGATTGGGAAGGGAACTATACTTTTTTTTTTTTTTTAAATGATGGGGGGGGGAACCCAAAACCCAAAAAACTTGCTTTGTTTGTCCCTGAGGTGAGGACACTGTAACAGCTGCATTTCTTCGTGATATAGAGACACCCATCTGAGAAGAAAATAATGGTCCCAGGATAACAGTGCCTCAGTAGCTTTGGGGAGCCTCTTGGAATTAGTTTGCAATTGCTGGGGCTCCATGAAACATTCATTAAAGCTCAGGGGCAGGTGCAAAGACTGGTGAACAAAAGAGAAATTGAAGCTGAGTTACTCCTTCAAGCCTGCCAGCTGGTTTCTCTACTGTTCCTCACGCCTGTTCAGTTTAATCCTAAAGTTACTGAAGCCTCTGCTGGTTTTCTTTATTTTGCCGGTTGCAAGTAGCCGGAGGTAATTATGATCCAGCAGAAAAAGCCGAAGGCTGAGAAGTCATGGCTAGCCCTATTAACAAAAATAATCTTTCCTCGCAGATCCCGCGAGGTAAGGACGCATCTGACCGGTCGGTGAAGTAGTAAGGGATGCACCCGATGACTTCTCAAGGAAGGCATTTCCTAATTTGGGAGGGGTCACCTTGCATGGGAAGAGAAAGCCCCTTTCTGAGGGGAAAAAAAAAAAGACCAAACAAAAACAAAACAGGCAAGAAAAGGGTGTGTTCCCTTGGAAGGGTTTGGCTCCATCCAGTCTAAGGACCCTCCTTACCTCAGGGGAAAAGATATTTATAGCTTGGGAGTCAACACTATGAAGACGACTCCTCTGCTTTTGCCTCTACATGATGCAGGGATTATCTGAAAGCAAGACCCTGTGCAGGTGGAAGGTGGCATGCAAGAAGTGAATTAAAGGCTTCCTCTTGCCTAAGATCCGCATCTAAGGGAGCACCCGTAGCTACAGTCACAGCTGTTTTAAAATCACCTTGCTAAACTCCATTACTGGTGCCAGTACATGAGCTTATGCTGGTATAGCTTGTTCTGGCGAGTTAACAGGAACAAGTGTAGGACAAAATTATGTACAAAACAGATACCTATCTAACATAACTCACTCTTGAGCTAGTGGCCAGGCAATACTAAATGAACGGCTAAGGGGATGGCAGAACTGCCTCACCGTGCAGGCAGGGGCCATGCTCCTTTCCTGCTGGGTTGAGCAGTCACGGCACTGCCTTCCTGCTCCAAGGCCCTTCCTCCCCTGGCTCTGCCATCATCGCTGCAGTCGTGCAACCTCTTAACGCAGGCCCCGAGATACCACCCAAACCGTCCTCTGCGTGACTGTTGCCAATACAGCTGCGGCCAGTGCTGTTCCAGCATGGATGTAAGCTCATAACTTCTCCAAAGTACTAAAAGTAGTCTGGTAGATGAAGCCAAACCAACTTGCTGTCAGATTCTTGGAGCAAAGGAAAGGTTAGAGGGTAACATTTAGAGGTAAATGTGTTTAAAAGTAAGGTAAACACTTTCGAGTTTTTCCACTCGCTTCACAATCACACACAGTCTCCCCCCCCCACCCCCCAAGCTTTCAGTGCTGACCTATTAAAGACATCAAATGACTCGCATAGGGTCCAAGTCATCAAGAACAAGGTTGTGGGTGCTGTAGGAGTATGGGATACATCTGGAAACTGAACTATCAGGGCCTCGCTTTGTGGCTGCCTGCAGAGCAGCTTGAGCAATCCCACACAATCCCTGGAGGTATTTAAAAGACGTGTAGATGAGGCACTTAGGGACATGGTTTAGTGGGCATGGTGGTGTTGGCTTGACAGTTGGACTTGATGATCTTAGAGGTCTTTTCCAACCTTAATGATTCTATGATTCTACGCCGTCACTGTGCTCACCACTGCTTTTGAGCTGCGCTACCCTGGGCTCCTGCTCTGCCAGGAATAATGATGACCAACTAGCCAGCTAAAGAACGTGTTCTGTAATTTTTACCTTGGTGACTTCAGTTACAAAACAGTTTCAGTTCAGTCAGGAGCAACTGTAAATTACAGTCCTTCGGTTTGTGCCTCCAGCGGTACAGAAAACTAGCCTAAGTTGCTGGGCTAAAACTATCATCTACCTTTAGCCTCATGCCTTCCCTGACCAGTTATGGATAACACTTTCTGAAGCTGTTTATTTTTAAGGGAGAAGCCAGATTTGTTTATGCACGTATATAAAACAAGCACAGAAGGATTCAAAACATCAAAAGCTTATTCCCAAAGCTGCAGCCACTTGAAAGGCTGATAGTAACTGGGCTGCTGTGTGAGGTTTTACCCTACAGCAAAGGTGAGGCACTGTAACCGAGTTTAAATTTCATTATAGATTGAGCAAAGTTAAATTCTCTCACACTGGCTCAGGGCTGGAGCTGGACACAGTTATGAGAGGCCACCTGCCCTGTCCTGGCTGAGACATGTACCCAAGCCCTGAGGCAGCGCTGGAAAGCTTGGGGACAGGCTGCTAGACCTGCTGATGCTTTTCAGCTACCACCACCATCCTACCTGGGGGATAAAAAGAGTAGCTCATGCAAGTGGGAGTTAATATTTTTTCTAGAGTGATTGCCATTCTATCTTTTGTGAAACATGGTATTTGGACAAATGCTCAACACCACCTGTATATAAAAAAAAAAAATCCATCTTCAAAACAGTAGCATTGTTTCAAGGGTTCCTCCTAGGTACAGACTGGGGTGGTAGTGCCACCCTCCAGCCTCCTACTCGGGGCAGCCTGCACGAAGAACTAGAAGTTGAAGCCACTGAATGCAGTCCTTACCCTCGGGAGTCTGAGTAAAAAGCAGCCATTCTTCCTGAACATCTGTTCTCCTGAGGGTTTTGTCATCATTGTTAAGTCAAAGTTTGTTAGTTTGGACTCTAAACTATTCCCTACTTGAAGTGGGACAAGTGATTTAGCCACCACCTCAGCTATGTAGCATTTCATTAGGAAACCTTCACCTCTACACTCTACTTAGCAGCAGTAACTCTAGTAATGCATACTAGAGTCAGCACCAATTCTTGGTTGGAAGTATCTTAGCAGTCTTGATGTGCAAGTATCGAAACGAAAGACAGAAAGGCAGCAAACACCTGCACACGCTCAGAAGGGATGGGTAGGAATATTCTCTAAAGGGGAACTTTCTTGTTGCACAGGACAAAGACTTCTACCCTCAGCAGGATCACACTCACTTATGGTAACACCCATAGAAGGCAACCATGGAAACACAAAGATAAGTTACTATTCTTTCACATATACAATATTCGTCTTGGAAAAGTCATTTTAATATTGCAAAACATCAGGAGAGGGGGGCTTTTGCCTACTTCAAACGCTGTTCATCCTGAACTTCATTCCTGCAAGGACCCTGGTCACAGTTACTGAAGCCCAGCAGTGAGAGTACACATCTCTTGACAGAAGAATTACATAGTCCTCCTTGTTGTTGTTTTGTTTTTGGTTTTTTTTTTTTTCCTTTTTTCCTCCTTCACTCATGGTGTGACAGGATTGAGCGCTGGCTCACACACATATCCACAGTTGCAAGAAGAAAAAAGTTATTAAATTGGTATTAGCCATTAAAAAAGTCACTTCCCTCCTCCAAGAAAGATGCATGCTACCAGGTGACAAAGAACAAAATTCCACCTCCCATCAGCCATTGTTTCATTGGTTTTATCCCAGTTTAATAGATGATTTATCAGATTTGTGCAAGACAGTTACCTCTAACACAAGGGGGGGAGGAAATCACAGCAACATATACACACAAAACAAGATACACAAAATAGAGCTAAATTTATATACAGGTTATTAGCAGCTAGACTCTTAACTTCATTTAGTACATGGCTTTACTTACTACAGTTTTAGGCACAAAGAAGAATTTACCAGTAGGATATTTGCTATAATGAAGGGCTACAATGAATACCTCGTCCCGAGTCCTCACTGAGCAGAAATTGGTTTATCTAATGAAGATCTAACTCTCGCTTCCCACCAGTTGAGGACACAGCCCTGCACAGAGTGAAAGAACATGATCCAGCTAATTCAGCAACTTTATACTTTAGATATTAAATATCTAATTTATTTTTTTTTAAATAGGGTTATGTTACAGAGTTATTGAATAGGACTGAATTTCAATGAAACAATTAGTGTCAGGGTTTTTTTTTTTTCCCCATTTGCTTAGCATGGGCTCTCAGCTGTAAACAACTCAAATAAGAGCTGGCAAGAAATGATTAGATGCGAAGATTGCTTTGTACGCACTTCACATTTATAATGAATTTGCTTTAAAAGGATTTAAAAGCACAAAGGTCATGAAACATTTAAGTTTACTTAGCAGGTTATGTTAATAAATTACAATGCATCATCCACATGTAGGACTCCACTCCAGGCTGCGCTGAAGCAGGTGCTTGGCTGTGCTTTATGTGCTTCCTCGTCTTTCTGATTTAGGACTACAGACTCAGAGCCCAGCAAAATAAGTATGTGCTTTACTTGCAGCATACAAGCAGCCTTTTTTGTTTCAGCAGCACTTCGCACATTTGATTATGCATGTGTAAGTGCTTTGCCAGACTGAGGAATGGCCACATATTTTAATTACTGATTGCTTATGTATAGTATGCCTGTCACAATGAGGAACATGATCACTTACCCAGTGAAAAGGCTGAAAAGAATAACTACATAACAGAACCAGCCAGATACCATAACAACACAATTAAAGATTTAAGCAGCGAGCAGATAATTTAAAAAAAAAAACAAACACCAACCAAAAAAACCCAGAAAAACAAAAAACCACAACTTTAACTTATGAGGCAGATAATGATGCATGCAAAGACTTTTCCTTCATGACAGCTTCATTTACAAGTACAGCTCAGCAAGTTTGAAATACTTTATCACAAGAACTACAAACTTGTTTATCACAGTTATGTCAGAGCTCCTCTGAAGGGTGTGTCAGTTTCTATTATAGCCGCTCCCCTCCTCTTCTTTCAGTTGCAAAAAAAAAAAAAAAACCACCAACCAAAAAAACCCAGAAAAACAAAAAACCACAACTTTAACTTATGAGGCAGGTTGATAATGATGCAAAGACTTTTCCTTCATGACAGCTTCATTTACAAGTACAGCTCAGCAAGTTTGAAATACTTTATCACAAGAACTACAAACTTGTTTATCACAGTTATGTCAGAGCTCCTCTGAAGGGTGTGTCAGTTTCTATTATAGCCGCTCCCCTCCTCTTCTTCAAGGTTTATTACTCAGCTTCTTGGGAAAAAGAAGGGGTTGCTTGAGGCTTTAGAAAGTGCAGAGAGTAAATGAGTTTTTCCCTTTAGAAAAAAACCAAAACACAAAGAACTTTTAAACATGCAGGAATAACAATGAGAAATTTAGAAGGTCTGGAGTTTGGCATTTGATTTTTAAAATGGCTATTCTGGATGTTTTCGGGTGTACAAAAGGGAAGGGAGTTTTAATGTGGAAGAGCAGCTTTGCCATGTTAAAAAAAAAATCATACCAACACACAAATATATTTTGGGACCATCTTTAAAAGCACGTCTATTGAACAAAGGCAAAATATGCCAACTTGGACCATTCAGGAGCGATGTGTTCTTACATACAGCTCTCCCCCGTAACTCCACTTAGCCTGCAAGAATTTTGGCTGTAACTTCTGTTATGTATTGGCAGGGCAAAAATCAAGTAAGGCTGTGAACAGAGGATTATTAGGGCTGTCAAATTACAGGAAGATCAAATGACAGTTTTTAGAAGTAACAGAACTTACAACTACCCAGTGTAGTACAGCTATTGCTCAAAAAATAACAGCTTCTTCACAGGAACCCTAACGTAAGAGATAAGACTTTTGACATAAGGTTCTCGCATTTGGTACAAAGTTAACTTGTTCCTATGGCTTCTCTGCTATAAGATCATCACTGGTACAGAACAGTTGGGGTCACAGATTGTCAGGAGACTCTTTGGCTGTCAGTGCGAAAACCGGCGCATGGTGCATACCCTTGAGGCTTATCTGGTGCCTTTCACTGGACACACAGGTTGCTAGAGCGTGACCAAGAAGCAGGTGGCTGGGAAGAAAGGCAAGACTTCAAGTGAATCAGCAGAGTGATGCAGTCACCCACTCAAAATTTGGGCTGCTCTGTCGAGGAGAAGGTCAAAACAGAAACCACCCTCTGTACAGTCTTGAGTCCAGTGGGCACAGAGCAAGGAAGCAGAAGACTCACACCACTGGTAGGGAACGAAGCCAAGCCAGATAATACAGACAAAAAGTCACAGAAGTGTGTCACGCTGGTCAGAAATTTCAGTTTTGACATTATTTCAAGCTCCCACGAACAGACGTACACATGTGGGCAAGACAAATGGAGCTCTCATTTTTGGCTTCAGAAAGAACAAAAGGAAGATTTGCCATTCAGTTTGCTATGTACAACAATACTGCACTGTACACTTCATTAATGAGATGCTGTCTGCTATAGTTCAGCATCACTTAAATAAAATTCCTCTTAGTCACAAAGAGCAACAGATGAGTATCTCTGTAGGAAGGAGAGCTGAAACCCACTGCTGTACATGACTGTACATGATGCCAGTCCTTCTGGGATAAACACGAGTGGTCATGCCACAGTATCTAGTACCTCCTTAGCTTGCCTGAAGCAGAGAACTTCCCCTTTCTTCTTCCAATCTGTTTGATCCCAATCTTTTTGGGACTATTCTAGTACAAAGCCATGCTATGACTTCCCCCTGTTGCCAAAACATTCCCATCCAAATTATACAGTCTCTTTCAGTAGTCCCAGTTTCCGAAGTGCCTCTCTCCTAGCTTCTTCTGTTGAGCCACGGCCAGAAAACTGTACTGTTATCCCTTGGGATCGAAATCCTGAAGGTCTAGGCAGTGAACCTGATCTCCTTCTCATATCCAGGTTTAGACTAGGTTGTTTATAATCATTAAAACTTTTTGCTGTGTTCTGCTGTGTGCTGCTGACCTTGTCAGCAGCAAGTGCTACCTCTGGTTTGATTGTTACAGTTTTGCCCATAGGAAGGAAAGGGCTGGGCTCGCTTTTTAAAATATCGTGGATGTTTTGATATCCATTGGGAACAGCCTCTGCCTGTTTGGGCTGCACACCAAGCTGCTGAGTGCTTGGGGCATGGTCCACTTGGTCCTGAGCTGGCTTTCCCTTAACTAGGCCAAGTTTTGTCAGGGCTTCGTATCGTGTTTGCTCAGAGGAGAGATCCCGTAAGGAAGAACTTCTGTTGCGTGACAAGAAATCATTTTTCTGCAGCTTCTCCTCCAGTTCAGCTGCCAGAAAAGCTCCTCCATTGATGTTGGCCAGCACCTGAGCTCTCCGCTCCTGGACATTAACTGCTGCTTTTGAAATGGTCTCATTGAATTCTTTGCCACTGACATTTGTTATGTTGATGTTGCTTGGGAACCGGTGCAGTTTGGGTGCAGGCGCAGGAGGGTGCTTCGGAGCTGCAAAATAATCACCATTGGCTACTGGCGTTTTCTTCTTGTCTGAATTCCCTTCCTTGAGGGCACTGGGGAATCGCACCCTGCTCTCCATCTGCTGCTCAGACATCTTCTGGGCCATGATGAGCGGAGTGGGGATAGAACGAAACAATTTTGGATGCTGCACTGGAGGAGAGGGTGGAGGAGGAAGAGGAAGCGTCTCAGACATCGATGGTGGTGGTACAGGGGGATGTGGAGGAAGGTCAGCAGGTACAGCTGGCTTCGGGCTCTCAGTTGTCCAGGTAGCATCCAACACTTAAAAGACAAAGCAGCAATAGTGTCATTAAGTCTTCACACAGAGCAGAATACAAGGCTTTCTTTCACCTAGGATTAGCAAGCATCAGGACTCCCCTCCCCCAAACTAACTCAAACTCAGCCCACATTACCAGAAGAAACTATAACTGAACACCTAGCTATGGCATCTTGTAGGCGACGCTGTAGTTCAAATCACCATATTTACAATGTGTTCACTAGAAGCCCTCGTTCTGCCATTCATTCACAATCTGCATGTTAGCTTTACTGTGTTTCAATGGCTGCTTTTTCTGTAAGAGTTTTGCAATTCTTATTTATTATAACAGCCAGGAGAGGACACGTTACATCCCACTGTATGTACTAGCTGATAAATCCATTCTCCAAAAACAGAGAGAGCAAACTCTACAGGGTGAAGAAAACAACATGCTATACACTATCTTGTCACAAACTTATTGATAGGATCATGTGCCTTTCAGTCCCACACAAAATAACACCAGAAAAAATATGCTATCTTAAAACCCTTAGAGAAAGTCTTAAGAGGTCTTAGAGAGAAGCAGAGCGTGAACACATTGATGAACACCAGTCTGCCTTGCTGCGATGACTCTGCATAATACTCAGTTCTATTACAACTCAGTCACCGGGTAGGGGACTGAGATAGCAGTCCAAAAACTTAATCATATGCATGACCTCCATGAGGAAAAAAAAGTTATAGTAACAGCAACAATTTCAGAAATCCCAAGTCAAATTAAAATCACAGTCCTTACTGCTCCTGATGTGTAACAGATTCATCTTGACGTAATAAGGAAGGTACAGAATTTCTTTAGCTGCTTCTGTTGAGAACTGGAGCATGTCAGGGCTAGGTCAAAGGGAAAACCACACTTTTGAGAAATACTACTACCTGGTTCTGCATCTCCACTAGGAGGGCCTTCATGGTCGCTACTTTCAGGTGTTGACTGTACTAAGTCGATGATATCTTCAGTCTCTGAATGACTGGACACATTTTCTTCCGTTGACCTTGGAGACTGACAGTGGATGCCACTGTCACGTAGGACCGGCTCCTCCAAGTCATCTTCTAAGGCATCTATGGTTTCCTCAAAGAACATGAGAACATCCTGCTCTTCATGAGTTAAGTATTTCAGACTCTCATCATCCTATGGGGAAAAAAGCCGGAAAGATTAACACCCTACAGGTGAGTACAGGTAAGTACACTGATAGCAAACACAGCACCCCTTTTCAAAGACCAAAAGGGGCAGGATGAAACAGGCAGCAGTTACATCAGAAGCATCTCCTGCTTACTGTTTCATCCATTCCCAAAGAGGTGTTCAGCCACTACAACACAAGAGAAAAAAAACCCCAAAAATAAAAGCCAGGCATTTACAGTGCATTAATTTTGACTGAAGAACAGCAACTGGTATTTCATCCTTTAAAGTACCTAACTTTAGTTCAGCAGAGAAGTGTCCCTTTGAGTCGGACAGAACAAATTGCTAAAAGATCATAAAAGCAGACTAAAAAAAAGCCAAACCAAGCAACAAAAAAACCCCACACCTGTGTCTTTACAAGGGTTAAGATAGCTTTTTCAGTCTTCAAACTGGAGTTAGCTGTTTCAGTTGCTGTGTCAGGTTCAGGGACAAGGCTTGGGAGCAGCATGGGAGGGAAAGGGTGCATTCAGGACAGTCCAACAAATGGGTTGATTCCCTTTTTGCTCTAGACCAAAGTGGGACTTGGCTTCGAGAAGCAGAGCTGGAGCTGAAATCTGGCTCTGCCACTGCAATCTCCGAGTTATTCAGAGTTACGTAGTAGATTACAAAGAAGTAATACGGAAGAAGAGGGTTTCTAAAGATTTTACCTTAGAGTTACAGAAAGGAAAAATTTAGAATAAATATGAAGACGTGTTCCCTAGCAGTAAAGTGCCTTAAGCTATATTCTCCAGCAGGATACAATCCTGTAGACCACAGAAGTGATACATAATCACTTGGATTATCCAATCTTCATTTTCTATGAGTCACTGCTCTTGATTAACTTGACTAACACAGTATCACTATGAGAAGCTAGGCAGCAATGTGCAAACTCTTTTCCCTCCACCTAAACCCTGGGAAACACTCACTCTTCCAGAAGCTTGGAGATGACAAAGAATGATTAGGAAAGGCACTACAATTAGGACAACGGATACAGGAAAGACATTTCCCAAGAGAGCTGTGTAAGTTCTAGAATGTAACTAAGTATTGTTGAAAAGTAAGTGAGGTTTTCCCTTTTCTGGATTGAATTTCTCTCCCACTAGGCATATACTGGAAACTTTGGCATCAGTAACTTAACAAGAAGGCACCAGCAAAGCAATACTAGACAGTTTCCTTTCTCATCTCTACTTTTCGCTTCTCCAAGGACATCTGATTGTGCATGCAGGTAACAAGGCTACTTCTCAATGGAGGATTGGGGGAATTTAGGTAAATACATAAAGGTATGCAGTGCAAATATCCAAGAGGTAGACATGTTCTTGCTAGAGCAGCACAAATTGCTTCAAAGTCACTGTGTCTGTTCAGATCATCTTACATTAGTCTGGAATAGAAAAAACTGCGTGCAGCTCTAGCTGTTAACTCAACTCCTTGCACAAACAAAGCTTTTATCCCCGTCCCCAGCTTTAAAATAAGAACAACATACCTCTGTAGACAAGTAATGCCTATAGATTAAGAACTATGAAGTGCTGCATTGTACCAAATGGCAGTTAGTCTCTAAGCACTCAAAACACTACAGATGAGAAGATAAATGCTTTAGGGTTCTTAGTTGCCTTCTCCTGTGTGGCCAGTAGAGCATTTTCCCTGTAAATAAGTGAATGAAATACAGAAGACAGACACACAGCCTTTCAGTCATTCTCAGTTCAGACACTTCAGGACAGGTTTGCTTATCTGTGGCTGCAATCATGTGAACACAGCAGTCTTCAGTCACAGCTGGCACAGTTTTCTGTTAAAACAGAAGACTGAAGTCTTGCAGGGAAATACAAAGTTGGTTTCAACAAAAGGTTCATTCTACAACTATATTTCTAGAGATTCAGATTTATTGTCATCAGGGTCAACGTTGTTCGATGGCTGGGAGACATGTGCAGAGGTGTGGGTACCTGTAACTTAGTCTTACCATCCACAGTGCACTGTCAGAATAGATAATTTATTCCTGCTTGCAGCAAAACTGCTACAAAAGCTTAAATTTGGATGCCATTTCCAGTTGCCTATTTAAAGCACTAACTTCAAAGGCTGACGTATTCCACAGCTCGCACCCACCACATGGCAGAGCTCAGTTTTCAAAAGCCAAGGAAAGTTTTACAGCTGCACTTGAAAAGTGAGAGACAGACAAGCCACCTTTTTTTTTTTCTTAATGGATGTTGCAATCTCCTTCCTTCTCCACCCAAATACTCATACAGCTGCTATGTCTAGTAGGCGAGAGAATGACAGGAAAGGAGCCGTTGTTAGGTAGGTCCTAGCTGGAGCTGAACAGGACTCCACGAAGCTTTTGTTGTGGGTGAGCTCATTGCAAGAGCCAGACTTCCGCAGGCAAAGGAAAAAAAAGGGGGTTGTGTTTAAGAGGTTCATGGTGGCAGCAGATCCAGAGTGTGGTACAGCACAGAAATGACTGCACCACACTTTGTTCATTTAAAAGAACAACTGCTCCCACATAAGCTTAACTCATTTGATCCAGACCTGAGCAAAACAGCATGTGGATTGAAGCAAAAGACTTTCAGAAGCCCTTCCTTCCATCCGTTTTTGCCGCAAGACTGAGTGCTTTTCCATGCCAGGAAAGATTTGCAGGAGGACTAGTCAGCAGAGCTCTGCCTGACTTACCATCCTTCATGGATCTTGCCGAAACGAGCAGTTTCCCTTTACGTGAAGGATCCAAAATGACTAACCATCCCTTTACAAATACATTTGTAGTAAATGGCATACCTAGATTTGAAAGGCCAACCTCATCTCAGTTAGCACTTTGATCTCTTTCCTCATGCAGTTTTCCTTCAAGATGACCAATGTCACATTTCCTAGGGGGGGGCGGGGGCAGGGAAGGGAAGACAGCCGCTCTAGAGAATAGGCAGCATTATGGCAGGTCACCATACTGAGATGCAAGGCATCCAGCCTGGCTAGAAAATCCCTCAGGCAAGGCATGTTTCAGTTTGAGAGACAAGGAAAGAATCCCATTTTAGACACACAAGCACAGTGAAAACAAACATACTGAAGTTGGTCAAACCAAAGGAGCTCGGAGACGTAAAGCAAGCAGTGACTTGCTTTACCACTGGTCTGAGAACAGTGGTGTATTATAAAACGCCCACTTGTATTACTGAAATTATAGTAAAGCTTTCAGAAAGATGGGAGGAATTTTCTTGTAGTCAACTGGTGCCAGTTTTAACTAAGGTTACCAAGTTTATTTGTAATTAGTTCGTTTTCCACTTATTCCAAGTACTGGAACAGTTCATATTCTTTCTGGGCTGTTTTTTCCAGGCCACCTTTCTCCTTAAAGGATATGGGTTTTTAAACAGTCAAAGCAGAGTCTTTTCAGCTACTCGAGTTATTCCCCTGATACCTTCCACCAACTCCCTACTCTTAATACACAAACACACCTCCCAGGACTAAATCTCACATACACCTAACACTACCAACTTTAAAGCTACTGTCAAAAGACAGCCTAAATTTTAAACTTGAAAATTGTGCCTTAGCTGACGATTAAAAAGACTGTTTGGACAGAATAAATTTGGGATGCAAACAGCCGAAATAGCTGAGTATGCTCAGCTGGCATTAATATTTTAGATCCCTGTGCAGCCAAACATTTCCTGCTTATGCCAAACAGGAAAGAGTCTGTTATGGCGGTGTTTGGTGTAAAAGAGGAAAAGAAACAAGAAAAAGGATAAGAGAAAAGAAGAATAGAATCTGTTTCACAGAAAAGATCCCTTTCCTACCTGTCCAAAACAGTGGCTTAATATCAGAGGCCCACAATTTTTCACATGCACCTGAAGAAATTCTTAACATCACATCCAGACCTAGAATCCTAAGACCAGCACAGCTTTGACAGAAACAGAACAGCAGGGGAATCCCAAGACATTTGCAGTGGTTAAAAAAAAATAAAATAGAAAAAACATTCTTCTGAAAACTGCTAGAGAACCAAATGGTACTACCCATGTCAAACAGTTACACTTCAATTAGCAAAATACCAGGAGAACAGCAGATTCAACTGATTCATCATCAATCACTTGACAATGCCAAAGAATTAATAGGCACAGTTCCATGGGAGAGAATGACTGGATGCTTCTCAAAAAAACACAAAGGGAGCAAACTATTCTAATATGTAGGAGGAAGAGGCCAACGTAGCACCACTTAGGCCCCAGCCTGTTAATAACAAAGCAGGCAGTTCTCCTTGTAAAAAGAAAGGGGGGAGGGGAGAGAGCCCTGCATGCAGGAACAGTATCAGAACAGGTACAAAAGCTTCAGCGCAGAAGAAAAAGGAAAGTACTTCTGATTATATTTACAGAAAAGGGAAACAGAATGGATTGTACCTCTGCATCGCTTAAGTTGGAAGCAAGTGAATTACAGTTAAGAACAAGAACTACCATACAGGATTGGACCAAAGAGTCCATTTGGCTCAGTAGCCTGCCTTCAGCCACCAGTAATGCACAGGACAGGGGAACAGGGTTGGGGTGAAGAGCGTTGCTGTAAATTGGATGGATTTATATTTTTCTTCCCTACATCACAGAATCATTTAGGTTGGAAAAGACCCTTAAGATCAACATCCTTCCAGTTTCCAGCAATACATGGCTTAAGGACTTCCCAGTTGCATCCACATCTGTGTACTTAATATAGCCCTTAATGAACTTTTCTAGCATGAATTCATCTTATTGTTTAAGCCCATTTAAATGGCTGGCATTCACAGCATTCTGTGGCAATGAGTTCCATAGTTTAATTGTGTGCTGTGTCAAAAAGTACTTCCTTTGCAACCCACTATCTGATGATTTTGATAATACCATTTCATTTGGTGAAGAAGACCATAATATTGAATGTTGTTTTCTTCAGTTTATTAATATAATTGTACCTGTGTGCTTCGTAATAGTTAGCAAAGCATATAATCAATAGGTCATAAGTGAGGAAACAAATGATCTAGAAGTATCTAAAAAATAAACTAGATG